TTATGATGTGTCTTGGTGTGTTCCACCTTGGGTACAATATCTTTGGGATTCTTTGAGCTACCTGGACTTCCTGGAAGTCTATTTCCTTTGCCAGATTGGGGGCATTTATTTTCATTATTTTTTCAAATAAGTTTTCAATTTCTTGCTCTTCTCTTTTGCCTTATGATTTGGATTTTGAAATATTTAAGTTGTTCTGGAGGTTTCTAAGCCTCTTCTAGCTTTTTTGAATTCTTGTTTCTTCATTCTGTTCTGGTTGAACGTTCATTTCTTCCTTCTGGTCCAAACCATTGAGTTGAGTCTTGGTTTCCCTCCCTTCACTTTTGGTTTCCTGTATATTTTTCTTTATTTCACTTTGCATAGCCTGCACTTCTTCCTTTATTTTTGTGACCATACTCAATCTTTTCTGTAAGCATCCTGATTACTGCTATTTTGAACTCTGCACCTGATAGGTTGTCTGTCTCCTCGTTGCTTAGTCTTCTTTGGAGTTTTGTTCTGTTTTTTCATTTGTTCTTTGACTGGGCACACCTGTTACATTGTAAGGGGTGGGGCCTTAGATATTCACCAGGGCGAGGCAACCCACTTCCTTCATTGTGGCACTGTGTTGGGGGGAGGGGTCTGAGAGAAAAAAATGCCACTTGCTTGGCTCGTGCCCCACTTTCAGCCACTTCCCCTACTACCCACAGGCAAATTGGGACCTTCTGGTGCTGATTTCTGGGTGGGTGGGCTTGTATACACTCTAGAACCTGTTGAACTCTAGAGAGTCCAGTGAACTCTCCTGTAAGGCTGGGAGTTTCTCCAGCTGCCATAACCCCCACAGATTTTTATAGCCAGAGGTTTTGAGGCTTTAGTTTCCCATGCTGGAAACCCTGGGTTGTGCAGTCTGTCTTGCTCCCCAGTTGTTCCTCCCAGTTTATCTGCATGTGAATGTGGGACCCTCTGGTCTGCCAGCCACTGCCTTGTCTTAGTCCTCTCTACCCCAGCTGCCCTTCTCTGCCCCTCCTACCAGTCTGGATGAATGTTTCTTTTTTAACTCCTTGGTTGTCAGACTTCCATACAGTTCAATTTTCTCACAGTTCTGGTTGATTTTTGTTTTTAAATTTGTTGTTGTTCTTTTTTGGTTGTGAGGAAGCAAAGCATATCTACCTATGCCTCCATCTTGGCTGGAAGTGAATGATTCATTTTCAATGATTATGAAAAATGCAATGGCTGATTCTCACTGGACCAGCTTGGGATATACCTTGTATCTTAACCACTGTGTGGTCAGGGGAAGGAACTCTTCTGTCTGTAAAGAAAGTGAGGGTGGAATCAGCCCCACCCAAAGTGTGGAGCTTGAGACTAATGAGAAATAGTTCACAAAGGGAAATTAAGGTGGTTACCAGGAGAAGAGAGTGGATACTGGGAAGGTGAAATAATCTGGCCCTGAAAACACTTCTCCATTGCTGCTCTCTCTTTCCCCACCTGGGCTATCCTGTCTACATCCTGCAGTCCTTTTGAGCTCACAAATGATCTGTTACTCTCCTATGTGTAAGTCTTTGGTGCTTAGAGGTTGAAGTTCAAACTTTTTAGACTAACATGGGCAATAACCGCAGACTGGCCTTATCTGATCTTTCCCACAGTGTCTCCTCACAAGCTCTTTCCTTGGCCCAGCGGGTCTACCTGCTGCTGAGTCCTACCTTCCCTGCTTTCTTGTGTGTGTTATTTTAATTTCCAAGGCATAGTTGGTATTACCTCTAATTTGACACCTTCCTTCAATACCTGAGCTCGCCTTTCTGCAACCCAATGATATTTATCATTCCTGGCACTTCTTATATATTGTCCCACATGGTTAGGAATTCACACAAGACTTCTTCCCCTATGCCTCCAGTCTTATCGTAGGTCACTCAAGGGTAGAGACCATTTTGCATGCTTCTGGTGGTCCCATCAAGATCTTAGCATATAGTGAGAATCCAATACATCACGATTGATTGTTTAAATGTCACTCTTCCTACATTTCAGCCTTATTTCAAACAGCTGGGTTCTTCCTCAACAAGTTTGCCAGACGGATGTTGAGACTTTGGGTTTTGTTTGGCCCTAAGGAAGAGTCCAAGGTCATCTGAAGGAGTTAGAAACTTAAAGACTCTTGACATACTTTATCCTCATTTTCTTTCTCGTTCCTGAAAGTTAGCATTTCCTCTCCAGAAATTTATATTCAATCCTTCAAATTGTTCCTAGTTACTTTTTGTCTTCTGGAGACAAGTCCCATGCTCTTAATTCACCTGAAGAGGTCTATGGAAGAATAACCAACTGCTGTTTTCTGTGTTTTCCACACCTTCTCCACTCCTCAGCAACCTGTGTCTCCTAGAACTTCTTTATTTTTACACACTCTCTCAGACACTACTGTGTAGTATTGTGGGCTTTGTCTTAGAGCCAGAACTGCTAACTGCGATCTTGAGCAAATTATTTCACCTCTCTGAGTCTGTTCTTCAAATTTGTAAACTAGAGATATCTTGTGTACTTCACAGTTATTGTTTAGACCAGGTGAGTAAGGAATGAAAAAGCTTCTGACTGTGCTGGGCACATAGTAAGTGCTCAATAAATGTTAACCATCACCCCCTCCCTGTCTCTCTCAGACATGGCTTCTCTTTCATCACAGCTGACATGAGGCTGCCATCTAGTGGGCTTCCAACCTGCAGGCAGCTGTGAGGGGCTAAGCAGGGCTGATGCGCAGACCACATCCTCAAGGAGGGAGTTTGAATTCTTCTTGGGCTCTGAGTGGGGAGCATTTATCTGTCTTGCTGGTGGGGTTCCTTAGCCCAGTCCCTAGACATGGGTCTCTCATGAGTCTCTAAAAGCTTCCCTTCTAATGGCAGAGCAGATATCTGAATCTGACCCCACTTGTCTCTTGGTCACTCTTCCTACCAAATCCTACTTCACACCATAGGTGGCAACCAGGGCAGAAGGGCTATCTATGGTGGGGTAGAAGTTTTTATTTTTACTCAGCTCAGGACCACTTACTCTCCCCCTGCCATTTTTCAGCAATTGTTCAGATTGCCCGAAAGGAAGGGTGTGTTGATGGTGACATTACTAGTGTGCTTATGACACAGAGCACTTTTGTGTAAATAGGCATAAAATAAAACTCACGGTAGCTCTTTGTGATTGAAATCTCACCATCAAAGCAAGGCTTAGGGACAGGAAGCCCGTTCTGAACACAGAGAAATCAAGAACTTGAGGCCACAGAAGAAGGAGGAATTCACCAACAGGCAGAATCGATAATGCAGCGTGGCATCCCCAAGTGCGTTGTACAGACGCCGGTCCAAAGGTGACTCTGGGGGCATGCTCCTGGGAGAGTGCTGCATACGATGCCCTGCCCCATCCCCTGGAGCTGGGCAATGCAAGGCAACACAGGACAGGACAAAAGGATCTGGGAAGTCATGAAGTAAAAAAATGTATTTGCTTTATTTGGTGAGTTTTTGCCAAATTAGAGTGGTAGGACAATGCTTTTTTTCCCTTCATAACAACTATTAACAGTCTATAGAGCCGTTGTTTCTGAAAACATATCAAAACAATACAAACTTATAAACAGCTACATGCTAGATTTTGTGTAAAACTGAGGGGTTTATTTATTCACTCAAAAACACTTTTGAGCACCTGCTGTGTCCCATATCCTTATGCAGCAGCAAAGAAAATAAATCCTCACCCTCATGGAACTTACCTTCCCATGGGCAGAGAAAGACAATAAGTAAATGCGTGAAACATTCCGTACATCAAATGGTAATTATGAGCATTGTGAGCAATAATCTCTGTCAAGGGTAGAGTGATGGACCAATATTTCCAGTAGAGTACCCAGGAAGTATTGGAAGGAGATAAGCCATGTATGTGGCCACCACGGAAGAGCATCCCAGGGTGAAACATCAAGAACCTGGTGCTAGAGGTTAGAATGTGGCTGCTAGAGTGAAGAGCTGCAAGAAAACCAAAGAATTTGCTGAGGGATGAGGGTGCAGGGCATCAGGGAATAGGAGGAAGGAAGGTTCAGATTGGGGGGCAGTGTTGAAATGATATTGGAGAGTGACTCAGAGAAAGGGGAAGTGAGGGGGAATCACGAGTGAAGGGAAGGTTTGAATTGGGCCCGGAGGATGGGTAGAATGTGGATACTCAGAAGAGAGAAATTAGGGTGTTCTTATGTGGAAAGCAATCATGGGGGTTGATGGAAGGTTGAAAATGAGTTCTGGATTTGAAGCCACATAGATTCAAGTCCCGTGTCCGGGTCTCAGTTCCTATACTTTGCAGGGAGGAGAGGGGCACAGTGCTCTCTGTGATGTTGTGCAGTGATACGTGTGTCAGTGTAGCAAGTGCTAAGGAAAGGTAAGCTTCCATTATTAGGCAAGGGAGATTCAATCAATAATGTTACAGAAGCAGATACTCAGGTGTCTTGCAACTTCTCTTTGCCAGAGGTGAATGTGCAAACTACTATTTCCCATCTTAGTTCAGGTAGAGGCATGGGGTGGTGGTCCCTATGATGGTTTGGACATTTTGTTTTTTGCTCTAAACACCTTCTCCTAACCCCTACCACTCAGTGAAATAAGAATCATACTATTGTACATCAAGCTTTAGAAATGGGGAAGCTGTGAGAGCAGTGGTGTGTTTTGTCTGAGGTTTTCTAGTAAGTAAATGTTTGGAAAAGGGACAAGATAGGGCTTCGCAGTTCCATCCATTCTTCTGCTGAACATGGCTCATTTCCAAAAACAAGATGCGCATTCTATAAACAATTTTCATTGTGGTCAAATACACATAAAATAACTTCGAACCGTGTTTAGGTATACAGTTCAGTGGTGTTAAGTACATTCTCAATGGTGTGCATCCAATCTCCAGAAATCTTTTCATGTTGCAAAATTGAAACACTCTGCCCATTGAAACAACAACTCCCTGTCTCCCCTGCCCCCACCAGCCTCTGCCTGTACCAAGTCCTGCTGTTGTCACTCTCCATGATAATATCCCATTATAGATATGGATATTGACAGACGTGGATGTAGATAAAAAGTATCTATCAGCGGGCAGCTGGGTTGCTTCCACCTTCTGGCCACTGTGAACAAAGCTGCTGTGAACATGTGTCCAGGTAACTCTTTGAGACTGTATTATTCACTATTTTCTAGAATTGTAATTGATGAATGGTAATAAGTAATGTTCTTTTTAGTATTTTGAGGAACCATCATATGGTTTTACATAGTGGCTGCACCATTTTATATTTCCACCAAGATTACACAAAATTTCAAATTTATCCACATTCTCATCAACACTTGCTGTTTTATATTTTTCCTTTTTTTTTTTGTAGTAGACATCCGAATAGGTATGAGATCTGTCTCAATATGGTTCTGATTTCTATGTCCCCAATGTTTAGGGACGTTGAACATCTTTTCATGTGATTTTTTTTTTGGCTGTTTATATATCTTCTTTGGGGAAATGTCTATTCAAGTTCTTTGCCCATTTTTAATAGCGTTCTTTGTAAGCCAAGCATTTTTAATGATCCCTGAGATAAGGTAATAAATACAAATGAGCAGGACAACCTGAATTCCAAAATTCCAGCTGGCTGTCTCCTCACCTACTCCACCACCATGCTCAAGCCTGCTGCTCAGAGTGGCTGTTGGCACTGATGGTAAGAAATTCCCACCCACCAGGAAATGACTTGTGAGAACCAGGCCTGACTTTAGGGCTGTACATGTCATCCACAGTGAGGTCGAAGAGAAAAATTATTTGTATTTAAAAAAATCTTGTTCTACCCTTTTTCTCTTTTGCAGCCCAATATGGAGTATTACTACTACAGCAATACCCACAGCTATAAGAACCCCCCAGCCCCAACCACCACCACTGCTACCACCAGCAGCAGCCAACATGGAAACTGTGCCCTTTTTGCTCTGAGTCTGGTGCCCCCCACGGATGAAGTCCATTGGAATTCAGATCCCACAGGTGGGAAAGAGCCAGCCAGCTGAGCTGTTTGATTGGCTAATCATTCTAAGAATCTGAAAATGAGAAGAAAATGTGGATGTTTCTCTCTTTCTCTTTCTTTTCTTTTCTTTTCTTTTCTTTTCTTTTCTTTTCTTTTCTTTTCTTTTCTTTTCTTTTCTTTTCTTTTCTTTCTTTCTTCTTTCTTTTCTTTCCTTCCTTCCTTCCTTCCTTCCTTCCTTCCTTCCTTCCTTCCTTCCTTCCTTCCTTCCTTCCTACCTTCCTTCCTTCCTTTCTTTCTTCCTTTTCTTCTTCTCCTTCCCCTCCTCCTTCTCCTTCTTTTTTAATCCATACCAGAGAATAATGAAGCTGTGGCTAAGAATTTTAAACAGCAGCATGGTGGTTTACAGAGATTAACTTATTCCCTTGGAGTGTTCAGCAACCAACTGAAGGCTCTCCCAAGCCAAGCAATTTTATAATTAAGTGATAATTGTTTTTGGAGGTTTTTTTTCCTGAATAGCCTAGAGAAAGATAAACAGCTGCAGAAATCAATAAGCATCAAGGTCATAGGCTGAATTACTCACTGATTCTCTGTTATTTTTCTTAAACTTTTCTCTCCACCAGGAAAAAAAAATGGGTCTATTTCACAGAAGTTTTAAAAGATACCTGGTTTAGTTTTCATGGCTGTTACTACTGTCTTCACCTTTTTTGTGACTGAGCAGCATTGCAGCCTCACACACTGGAGAATGGGAATGTGGGAGGGTCTGATGACGGGGCTGGTTCACTGCCCCAGGCAGGGGAGATGAAGCCTGGCTGGGCACCAGGCTGTAGGAGGTTCTGGGGTTGGGTGGAAAGAGAGGACACAGGCTGTGTGTTCCTAGTCCCTGTCCACTTCCATGACAACTGTGATGGCTTGCTAACAGGTCTCCTAACCTGCTTTGTTATCTCTCACCCTCTATGGATTCTGCAATCTATGCTCAAAAAGATCTTTTCTTTTTATAAAATAAATTCCTTTTTATGTGTTTATTATTATTATTTTTAGAGAATGGAAGGAGGGGGAGAAATATCAATGTGTGGTTGCTTCTAGTGTGCCCCATACTGGGGACTTGACCCGAGACCCAGGCATGTGCCCTGACTGGAAATCAAACTGGTGACACTTCAGTTTGCAAGCTGGTACACAGTCCACTGAGCCACACCAGGCAGGACTCAAAAGGATCTCTTCTAAACCCAAATGTCAGTTCTCTATAACAAGAAGCCTTCAGGGCTGTCCTTGCTCTCGAAGAATCACCCAAATCCACATGGACATTTCTTAGGAATTTTGTAGCAGCGTGCTCGACTGCACACCCATGACCTCAGCTCCTGTTGCTCTTTGCCTTCATCTCTAAACTCCTCCCATGCTTCTCTGAATTCCTCACACACACCATGCCTTTTCCCCTGTGGTCATCTCTGCTGTTGGTCCTGCCGGAACAATGTCCCTCTGTTTCCCAGGGCAAGCCCTACTCACCTAAGTTCCATCAGCCCATACCTTTTAAGTTAGGTCTTTGCCACTTCTTGCGTTGTCACAGAACATGTGTCCCAATCCCATGAGAAGTCTTGAGTCATTTGAATTAAAGGACCATGCTTATATGAGCATGTATTATATCACTGATAATAGTTAAATGTCTAGGCCATAATAGATAGTAAAACTTGCGCAGTTAACGAAGGAATCTCCTGTTATCTTGGACCACTGAGAAGGAAAGGGGGCTCCAGGAAAGGTGCCTTGTAGAATGCTTCTGCAAAATCCACCTGTTCCTGTCTCAAAAGCATCTCGCTTGCCTTTGATTGAACTTCACATGGACAGAAAGTAGTTGCAATGGCATATGTATTTAGAAGACGGCTATTCTTCTATGCAAACCTGCCCATTTAGTTGTATCTTACTATTAAATTAATTTATATACAACTGCAGAGAATATAACTATTCTAGAAAACAGTAAGACAAAACTATGTACCTTTTTTGGTGGGCCACTAGCATACAAGTAGCACACTGGTTAACATGCACAGGAACAAAAAGAGATTGAGGGCACCGTCTGTCCCATCTGCTTAGCTAGATGTGTTTGACCTTTATCAATTCTGAACTGAGTTAAAAATGCCTACACCCAAAATAAAATTTACTTATTGTTATTTAATGTCTTTTGGGGGAACGTTTCCAGTTTTCTGCTTTGGAAGGTAAGGCTGATAGGTAGCTTCGGGTTTGCTAAAATGCCTCTGCAAATCTGTGGTGCCAACAATGGGATGGAAAGCTATTTGATATGATGTGAACAAAGCCTCTGAATAAATAACTCAGATCTTTCCTTTTTCATTTGGAGTTTCAAGTGTGTGGTATTCTATTTGGAGGTCCTTTGCTCTCTTCCTAGGCCTTGAGTGTTGATCCTGGCTCTAGGCCAGAGACCAGCCTTCAGCCCAGCACTCTTACAGGCCCCTGAGCAGCGTTAAAAGAGCTTCTTGATCTCTATTCAGGGTGTAGATTCCAAGGATGTATTCATTTTCCCCTTGTGTTTGTCCTCCACCCAGCAACTATTAATGAACTCAGAATCAATCTGTCTGGTTGCTTGATAAGATTAGAAGACTTCCACTATTCTTGCAATTGCTCATAGTAAATCAGATGAATCAATCAGTTTATTGTGATCTCTCACTCTCCCTCTCTCTCTGTATCTCTGCTATAGATTAAGTTCCTAATAAAGCAGCTTTGTAATAAAAGCAGCTCCTGAGAAAGCAAAGTGATAGGTCTCCTATCAATCCTGGCTCTTATTCTCTATCCAAGAACCAGACCAGGGATGGCTTAACTTAAGAAAGACAACAGGGTAGTGCTAAGCAGCTTCTCCTGAGGATCCTGGTTTTCCTCTTAGATGGTGTTTATCTTGAGAAGAGACTTTCCATTGGTTAGGTAGGCCCTAGCTTACCTAGGGGCTGGAAAGCTCAATGGGAGACACACTGCTGGCTGTTTGGAAGAATTCAAATAACCCTACTGGTGGAACCGGTGCCAGATTCTCTGAATGTTCCAAATTCCGATTCTTGTATTATTCTAATCCAAACCTACAGAGACTGGAGGGCAGCAGTGTCTCCACTGGAAGAAAAAAGCCTGAGACTGCAGGTAAGTGCTGGAAACAGGAGCAGCTCACCCAGGGAGACCAGAAAGCCTGCAGCCTAAGAAGAAAAGCTGAGTTTGGGACCTGGCAAATGATTGGGTGATCAGGGAATTCTATGCAGTGTAGAGAGCAGGTGTACTCATTCTTGTTTCATGGGTTAAACAGCCAACAGAGGTTAGAAGGATGATGGGCTCATTCCATTTCACACAAATTGACACTTAAATTTATAGGTGGCCTGTCCAGAAAGTATTCAGCCATGCACTATGAAAAATAGAGACATTTATTGAAGAAGTTACAAGATGCAAGAAACGTGCATAGGACAATGACACCTCAGTCCCCTTCAAAGTCATGACCTTCTTGAGGAAATCTGGTTCATTGGCAGCAGTTTGAATCAAGGCATTAGCAACTGCAGCATGATGTTCCTTCTGCTCTAGTAGCAGAAGCCATGGAATGAATTTTGCCACAACATGTTCACGCCAAGATCCCACATCAAAATCTCAGGCACAGTTGTTCCTGTAATCCCCAAATCAGCTTCTAGTTCTTGCTCTCTTAGTCATTGATCTTTGTTGATTGCAGCCTGCATACACTCAACACTCTCAGGCATTCTACTTGTTGCAGGCCTTCCAGAACATGGATCACTTTCAACAGATTCTCAACCATCTTTGAGGTGTTTGTGCCACACTTTTATTTGTGCTGCACTCATGGCATCATCCCCAAAAACCTTTTGAATCATCTGAATAGTTTCCAGAGGGGAATGGTTATACTTAACACAAAATGTGATGCAGATTCATTGCTCTTTTTGCTCAGTCCTTTTGAATGTGATGGTCACACAGTACACATGCTCACTCAACAGCATCCACCACCCCCACTGACTGGCACAGTAAAGTCATCATTGTGCACACAGGCACATTCCCGTCCACTCACCTCTGCTGCCAGGTTACACTGACGTCACACAAACTGTTCTCATTACATTAACGATGGCTGGACTTTTTCTGGACAGATCTTATGGGGTGTGTGTATTCCTCTGTGTGTGTCACAGACACATATCCACATATATATATATATATATACATATATGTATATATATCCGCAAAACTTCATTTAATACCTATTTCTAGAGGGTCTTCCCTTTCTTAAAGACTAGCAGTAAACTGCTGTATTTTGGAGAAATAAGTTGATTCTATCATGGGTAAAATTAGCAAACACTAATACAGGGATGTAAGGGTTGGGTTTTCTATTCAGAGTCCCTGTCTCCAGTTAAAAAGTGATAGCATTTTTTTTTTTGCCCTGGCTGGTGTGGCTCAGTGGATTGAGTGCTGGCCTGCAACTCAAAGGGTTGCTGGTTCAATTCCCAGTCTAGGGCACATGCCTGGGTTGTGGGCCAGTTCCCAGTGGGGGAGGGCACGGGAAAGACAACCACACATTGATGTTTCTCTCTCCCTTCCTTCTCTGAAAAAACAAATAAATAAAATCTTTTAGAAAAGTGATAGCATGTTTTATTTTGTTTTTTATGTAGAGATAAGACAGCAATTGCATGAGAAACTTGAATTACTATGCAAAGTTATCCATTCTTTTGGACAAAGGAAATTTAAGATGTACTGTATTAGTCAGGATATATTCTAAGCTGCTATTACAAAGAAGTTCTTAAACAAGAATAAAAATCTCAGACCCGTTCTCAAAAGTGCTTCTCAGTCCATGGGAATGTGTATAGAAGCCTCAGGCTCAAACACTATTTCTTTTAAGGCACAACCAGAAAGTGGCAGGACTTAGTCATGTGGCCACACAGCCAGGTAAGGCTGGGAAAGCAACTCTCAGCTGGGTACCAATGCTCTGAGGTAAAAGACAGGAGTTCTCTTATTAAAGGAGGAAAGGTAAAGTTATATTGGTAAATGTTTGCAGGCTCCTCCACACATGCACATGTGGAAGGAATGCAACACAACGTGAGGTAGTGAGTGAAATGAAAAGGAGGAGAAAAAGTAACCTGAGCTAGGTAAAAGGGTAGTCATCTCACACTTGGATAAAGAGGGCCAAACAAGGTGTGTATATTAAAAGGTGGAATTAGAACAGGGAAGAAGTACGTAGTCTACTTTCTAGGTTTTTTTTTTTTTTCAATTAGAGTACAAACTAGCTTAAAACAAACTAGCTTAAATAGGGCTTACCTCTAATCAATTGGGGTGCTTGAGCTTCTTCTAATCTTTTGGCAATCCCATGAGGCAGTTCACTTTAATTGGGCTGAATTTGAAAATCTGCAATTCCTTTGCCTTTTATTTTGAAATACCCCTCTTTATTCCTAGTGATATCACTTGTTCTGAAGTGTATGTTATCAGGTGTTGATATAGACTCTCCTTCTTTCTTATTGTTACTGTTTGTATCACATACATTTGAGAAGGCCTACCTGTATCTTTATATTTAAAGAAGATTTCTTGTGGCCAATAAATGTAGATTTTGTTTTTGTATTCAGTCTGAGAATTTCTGTTATTTATATGGTACATGTAAACCATTTATATTTAATGTAATTATTGATATGATTAAATTTGAAGCTACCATTTGCTACTTGTTTCTATTTGTCTTATGTGCTCTTTGTGCTTTTTTTATCATTCATCTTGTGGATTAACTATTTCCTGTTATGCTATTTATATATATACACTGTTGATTTATAAGCTATATCTCTTGTTTTACTGATCCCACTTACTGATCTTTTCTTCTGCATCATCTAATTCATTGTTAATTTCAACCAGTGAAAAATTCACTTTAAATATTGTATTTTTCTAGGACAATGATTGGTAAGCTTTTTTCTGTAAACAGCCAGATAATAAATATTTCTGGCTTTTCAATCTTTTTTCTATAGCCTAGTATTCAATCAAGACTCAAGGGTACCCATAGGCAGACTTCTAAAGCTCATTTTCTGTATACTGCCTTTTTTTCTGGAACTCTGTTCTATAAATTCCAGCTGCCACAGGTTCCTTGAACCCCATTCTTCCTTCCCTGAACTTGTAAAGCTGCTGCATTCTGTGGGCAGGGTGGGGCACTTTTCCTGAATGCACAGTACAGAAATGGCTTCCAGGCAGAAATCTGGAGCAAGCACTCAGTTAGCCGAATTTGTTCCTCTTCTTTCAGGAATTACTATTTTCTTCTATCTGTTGTTTAACATCTAAAAACAGTTGATTTATATATTTTGTTGAGCTTCCTGGTTTTTAGTGGAGGTACACAAGTTCAGTATTGGTTACTGCATCCCAGCCAGAAGCAGCAGTCTTGTCACCTCTTTGAAAGGTCACAAGGGGATCTCTGTCATACATTTACATGCAGCCTATTTATTAGAACAGCATGTCCTTCTGTGATGAAATATCCAAGTGTTTAGTCCCCAACCAATAAATAAATAGTAAGTAAAAGGATGCTGGTGGGTTTTGTGATCTCTGGCCTGCTGTACAGAATAACACAAGTCTGGATTCAATAATGTTTGACACAGTCAGGTTGTGCAGAAATAGCAGTTATCATCAAAATTTGGTTTTTTAATGAGGAATTATTAATGTTAAGTATAATAGTTTGGACAAAAACATCCTGTTGCACACTACCAGCTATTTGTTGTATTACATGGCAGGTATATTGTTGAGCAAAATCGTTTTTACCAAAAGTGCAAAAATGACTGTAGTAGGTATGAATTCAATCTCCTACTCATTTATTTCCACATTCACACCAGTTTAAAAACACTTGTGGTGTATATTCTGAAAGTCCTGGCATTCTGAGGACAAAAGAGGCACGCTTCTGGGTGAGGCTGTAGTGTGTACATGCAAGGATTCAAACTGAAGCCTGGGAATTGAAACTTGACACCTAACAACAGGGATTCCTCCATTGACAAAGATGTCGAGCAGCCATTCAAGCTGTAGATGGAATAAATATCTGTTCAACTTTGTCTTTTAGTTTCTCCAGGTTGGAAAACAGATAGAACTAATAGTTGTCAAGATGTGAAGTTCATACTCATGAGTTTGATGGTAAAGGAAAGGGCAAAAGGGAAGCATTTTAGAAGGTCTCTTTTTGGACAGGCAATCTGAATTCTTGTTGGATTATCTCTAAAAAGACTCACACACTGGGTGCGTGGTCATTGGGCCTCCCATGTAAGGTATATTTCACTAATTTTACAGACAGGCATTGTATTGACAAATGATACATGGGCGATTTTGTTAAAAGGTCAAGGCCCGTGATGCCAAGCAGAAAAGCCAAAATAATCACAGGGTATACAACCTAGAGACATGGTTTCTAAATTGTTCTTGGGGATTATTGAAGGACCTATGTAATTAGTAGCCAATTTTACACAGATTTAAAAAAAATGATTATTACTATTTCTATGAGAATATCTTGGACTATTTAGAAATTAAGTAACCTAGAAATTGAGAGTTGAACAAGGCATCATTTGAATGTAATTCTAAAGGGTTCATCTGGGCTGGCACATATATACACTCCCATTCTTTCCCATTCAACCAGATACGGAGGCTCTTTGTATCTCAAAGGATGATGCTGTTGGCAATTGTTAGCCAAGGTCTGAGAGCAATCACCTTCCTTAGTTTAGGCAAGGCCATGGCCACAGAGAGGCAGCCCTGATTCACAGCAGGAATTGGAGGAATTTCACCATGTTGCATTGTCATCACCGTTTCTAGAAAATAGAACTCTGTCATGAGTCTAGAGATCAAGTTCAGTTGTTCAACTTAAAAGAGTGCCTTTGTGTAGTTGCACTTTCCAAGAAAGTTGTTTTTTTATTTGCAATTTTTTCTTATCCTGGAAAAAAATGTGCTCCTGTTTTGAGTTCATCGGAGCTCAAATTCTAAAGGGAAATAGTCTTGTGCTGCTTTTTCTCATCATTAGAAGACAGAATTTGACAGTGAGTAGGAGGTGGGCTTTCAGTCCTGATGGTAGGGCTGGCACCGGAATAGCTTTGCCTTTACCTAAGAAATATATCAAATGAACCAGTAAAATATAACTGCCTTCCTGCCTTCTTGGAGCTCACATAATCTAGTGATGGAGAAAGATATTAAAAAGAAATCACATATAATTATTTGAGTACAGCTTTGGAAGTTTTTCTCAGAGGGGCAAGTTGAAAAAGCCTAAAGTGGTCAGAACTATTGTTGGGAGTTTACCTTGATGTAGAGTTGAAGACTGAGAAGTGAGAGATGAGAACTTAAGAGAAAAGGAGTTAAGTGGAGGTAGAAATTCAGAAGTGGAAAAGACCTTGATAAGTCTGAGGAAAGAGGAAGAGCCAATATAAAGGGTCAAAGTGAGACAGAGGAAGATTTTATGGTGATGAGGTGCTGATTAGGAGTTCAATCATGCTGGACCATAGAGACCACTCTAGACCTGAATTTGATTATAGGATCAATGGAAAGTCATTGAATCTTTTCCATGACATGATCACATCTACCTTTGAGAAGAAGAATGGACTGGAAAGAGATATGAATGGATGCAGAAAGGTGTTGCCGACAGGTGAACATGATATTAATAATTCACAGATGGTTTCTGCCATTCTTTAGTCCTTTTACATTCTCCAAGCAAATTAAGCACTCTCTTGTAACAAGGAACAGAAGGGCATATATTAGGTAAGTAGACAAAGAGGAAAACAGAAAAATGGCACCAACTGCCTGCTCCCTCACTGTCATTATGTCAAGTGTCTCACAGACTCTTGCTCAACAGGGTGAGCACTTATGGGGCTCACGGGGCTCATGACTCCTTGGGAGCATGTCCCTGCTTTTCTCACCCTGGGGAGATCCAGGAGAGTAGACACAGACATCAAGGTATCATTTTAATGCATTTGGGTATCATATTAGCCTCAGCAGCCCTGGACTTTGGCCTGATCTTTTATAATTTCTCTCTCACTTCTGCCTTTTGAAAAGAAGCTGGGTTTTCATGCATCTCATCTTGAGAAACAGAGGACTTTTCTCTCAGGACTTACCTCCCTTTCCAGGAAAAAGGG